ACTCGTGCGTGGGGGTGAGGTTGGTAGGGGAGGGGGTTGTCCTTCCGTCCTGATTGTGGTTTAGGTCCGTTCTCAGGTCACGGTTCAGATCTTATGGAATCGCCCGCAAACCGAACGCCTTTCTACGGAAACTTCTGTCAAAACCAAAGGAAAGAACAATAGAGAGCAGTGTTATATGCAAAATAAATTGCAAGAACTGCTCAAAACACTAAATCTGACAAAATGGGAGAAAACTGTCAACAGGGATCACGTGTACACGCCAATGCAAGTCAAGGCTCAAATGACACAGGAAAACAGGTCACGCCGTGACATGAGAACGGACCAAAACCACAATCAGGACGGAGGGACAACCACCTCCCCCCCACTCTCACTCCCTCGCAGCAGTTTAACGGGGAACCGAGTCGAAAACAGTGAGAACAAGGAAAAATATAGTCGATGGAGAAGACCACATTTATAAAAAAAAACGGATATAAGCATGAGACTGCCACTTCACAAGCACTTATGATGGAACCTTGGCTGGTGATGAAGCGTTTACAAACAAATTGCTAAACTCGGCGAACAGGCGAAATAGAATTCAGTTCACCCGAGCTACGAGCACCGACTTTCAGTAGTTTGTCAAGTGTTGACTTTGATCAATGATTTGGTAAGGGCTCGAAGTTGCGTTGATCTTACAAAACACGTATCGTTTGCACAGCGCGCAATCATTGCTGGATGATTGGAGTTGAGCGTTTTCAAATTCCACCACGAAGGTGTCCGCGAAAAACCGTTCCAGCGTAAACTGCATGAAAAACTACCGTTTTGTCGATAGATCTCGTCGTGAAATTTGAAGCAAACGTGATGCGTGATGGAACGAAGTTATTGTTTCCGTCACGCCAAGGAAGTGCTCCGTCAGCGTTAATAATTCTTACTTAGTTTCACCGATATTCAATCGTTCCATTCGTGGATTATGAACTGACGTCTAGGGAGAACAACGTTCGACCGAATAAGTGTATGCAGGGAATTTAATCCACAAAACGGTTGTTTTGTTTTTCTGAAGGTTTCTGAATGGTTTCGGTTAATTTTCTGTTTTTTGGTCCGTTGTATTCAACTTGATATTCCGATACAGGTAACAAGTGTTAAATAAAACTAGCTTGAGCCTTTACAACTGCACTGACC